TTGAAAGTAGATGGTTCACTGGATGGGGAGCATGGTAGTTTTAAGTATTAGAGATCAAAAGTGTTGTTAATTTAGTGGTTGTGGATAAGTATCTATAATTATAGGAATTTATAAAGTATAGTTATCTATAAAATATCTATAAAGTATAGGAATTGCTGATAAATTTTTGTAATTGGCTTATATTGATTTTGTTCGTGGTTTAACAACGTGTAAAAAAATTCACTGAGAAGTATGTTTCATTATTCGCTGGAACGTTTATTCTGGATAGTAGTTTATCAATTTCGGATTCAAGGAAATCAGTCGTTTCGATAAATAAAAGTTTTCTATGAACTCTCAACCTGCACGTCATCACCGAAACTTTTTCCATTTAATGCGTTCTAGTTGAGGTTGTTTGTTTTGTATCACCATTGTCTTCTACGAACAATATTCTCACACGTGACCCATTTTTCTGACACGATAAATTTCCAAAAATTATATACACTCCAAAATTCCTTTTGACTCATTTTTCCCCTTCAATTTTGACGAAATGCTATTTTCGCGATTTATTCATGACACTATAACGCTTTCAAAAATATTAATTCAGGGAGGCGACAATTTTGCAATTATACATCGCGACAAATTCTTTTCTACGTTTTTTGATTCATCAATTTACAATACTAATTTTTGATACAAAATTTTCTTTCATTCGCAATAGAATAAGTAAGTGAAAGTTTTACAGTTATTTTACTATATATTGCGTAGATTAATTTATTTCCTTCGTACATTTTCCTTCAATTCTCAACTCTCCTCCATATTCAATCGAAGGGGCACTACCAAACTAGCTGTATTTTCGACAATTTTCAATATTTTTTAACGAAAAAAATTGCATGTTCTCCTTACATATAGGTCAAAACCATCACAGAAATCTTGCCACGAAAACGTCTTTATAGTTTCTATAAAAAAAATCCCAAATAGCATCTAAAAAATTGACCTCTTCCATATTCAATCGTAGGGGCACTACTAAACTAGCTGTATTTTCGACAATTTTCAATATTTTTCCACGAAAAAAATAGCGTGTACTCCTTACATATAGGTCAAAACCATCGCTCAAATCCCGACACGATAACGTTTTCATGGTTCCTAAAAAAAATCCCAAATGGCAGCTAAAAAATTGTCCTCTAGACTAGAATAACCCCCTTAAACGGGTCACTCGGTGTACTATAAAATTTTCCAAAAATTCTCTAACTATCTCGGTAAATTTTTCCACTGCACAGAGTCTCCAACGACTTTCCAATATACCCGGAAACGGTCTTCCACGAATCGCTCGCCGCAGGAAAGCCCGATTTCGCAATAATCTTCGATCCAAATTTGTTTGTTCCGTTGGCGGCGTGTTGTGCCCGGCCCAACCGCGATGTCTACTATTTGCCCGCCCTCTTCAATCACGAACGTAACGCTCGCAACAAGTGCACGCGTAAATGATTTTTTTTTATGCTACTTTGACCCCCAAACGTTCTGTCCGCGTTCTTTATTTACTCGAAACCTGAATTTATTTGCGAGCAATCGCACGCCGCGACGTTGAATGCACGAGTGAACGCATTTTGAATATCCAACGCGTTGATATCGTTTTCCTTCTCTCTCTCTCTCTTCTCTTTTTCCGCTCCCTTCCTCCTTTTTTATTTAATTTTTATCCGCGAAACACGCAAGGATAAATAGACTGGACGGAATATTTTCGTGTAAATATTCCTGTACAGAGGAATAATTTTCAGAGATGAATAATATTCTTAAAGGATTAATACTAGAACTACCGATCTTTAGTGGGCACCTAACTATAACGTGCACAGATTATAGTAATTTCAAGAGGTACGATGAATATGAGTGAATATATTGATTACACATCTTTCTTAATACGAGTTGCTACCAATTTTATTCTTAAAGCAGGTGTATGTGTTCGGTGATTGCAAAAAGGGAAATTCTGGGACCAGTCGTTTTGACTGGGTTGGTAGTTCTAGTGTTAAGGGATGATAAGGGGTGTATTTTTTGGTGGATAGCTCTCTTTTCTAGTCCTTTGAATCGTCTGGTGAAGCGTGATTCGATCTTTTGCCGTGAATTTTATTTTTACATAAGTAGAATTTCGAATATCGTATCTGCGTATAGTTTTTTTTTTTTTTTTTTTAAACATGTTACGAATTATCTCGTAGTTGGTGCGCAAGATTATTTTAAAAACTATCACAAACCGTAAAACTATTATTCTGCATGAATAAATTTTTATAGACTTTGTATAATTGTATTTTCTGTTCATTTAAGCAAAACCACATTTAATATGGTAAATAACGAAGGGATGAGGTAACTCGTAGTAGGCATCCTGGGCAAGTAAGCAACCTACGAGATACCTCGTAGTTGGCAGTTAACGTGGTAATAACAAAAATTTGTTATTTAATTTGTTATTTTGTTAAAATGTGTTTTAAATTCTATAATATTTTATTCACCAACTATCTCTTGCATATCTAAATTAGCAGGAAATTATTGGAGAAATTTTTTCTTACGTCAGGAGTGCGAATGGTTATTAAGAATGGTTTATTATATGGTTTTATCGTGGTTGTTATTATAATGGGATTTTATGATTCTTCTTGGCTCGTAGCTGCTACATCTCGAGTTAAAAGTTTGCGGTTTAAGCTGAATTTAAAATGAAGCAAACTTTAAGTAGATATGGCGGAGAATACTCGAGTATCAAGTGTTGATATGGAAATGTATTTATAGAACGCAGTTTTGGGCATTGCCAATTCCAAGTTCTTATCTTTAGCACGAAAGTTTGGGATTCGTATTTTTATTACGAAAATTCTAGCGTTTCTTGGAACACTCGAAAATTCTTTCTTCCCAATTTCAAAAACGTTGCAATCTCGTATTACTACTTCTGGTAAAAAGTTTTTGACCAAACTCTCATTATCAAACAAAGATTTAAATTATTCCTTTTATTTTTGTTTATACTTCGTATCAAACCGATATAACGCTCCGTTTTATGCCCATACTATAGCATTTTACGTGTAATAAAGTTGTAAGAAAGTTGTGTCATAGTAATTTCAGAAAATCATAGTGCTGGCCCAAAATTTGTTTGCCAGGGGTAGTATTTCTATTCGAACCTTTAACCCTTGCAAAATGGTAACGGGGTCTGTAGAGACCCTACCTCGACACGGGACGTATACGACATAGACAGTTTTCATAGTCATCGACATAATTTGCTCTAGCTCTTGTATAATTTAAAAAACAAAAAGAAAATAGGAGACGAAAATAGTTTTCGAATATTCCCATCTCATGGACACATACAAGAGCATGATTTACGGTAAAGAGCAAGGCCGACGTAATTGCTTAACGACATCTGTGTCGAGAGTCGGTCTTGATTATCTTCCGGGAACTAATCTCGTGGAGGCATCGAACAATGACGAATCTGTAATGAATATTCAACGTATCCGTGAATTCGTTCGTACGCGGCTATCCATTATGGATATCCGTTAGCTGATCCCAGACAGACTCGACATGTTTGCGTTTAAAACCGTTCGGAACTGCTGGTCAGCTAAGTTTCGAGAACGCAACATTGGTGAGGAGTGTGTTTGCTGATAAGTTGACTATCTCTGTGAATCGAGAAAGGCATATCCGTGAGAGACTCGTCTGATGGTCTTCTTTTGAAGACACTTACGTTTCCTAGTCTCTAGAAGACTATTACTTAACACTAGAACTACCAATCCAGTCAAAATGACTGGTCCCGGAATTTTCCTTTCTGCAATCACCGAGCACATACACCTGCTTTAAGAATAAAATTGGTATCAACTGATATTAAGAAAGAACTGTAATCAATATATTCACTCATATTCATCGTACCCCTTGGAATTACTATAATCTGTGCACGTCATAGTTCGGTGCCCACTAAAGATCGGTAGCTCTAGTGTTAACACTTTGCCACGTTGAAATCACATGCTTCGCTCAGGACACCACGGGAGTATTTTTATTATTCAAAGCATACAATGGCAAAATAATAATAAATCGGTGAGATAAGACAACATTCTTACCCAATGGAGCGTTTATCTTATTGGCGATCACGAGTGACCACCGTGACACCTTGGTAACGGTTGACAATTGGCTAACTGTCAATTTTCGTTCAATTTTTACAATTGTAAGTATTTCAAGCGCTTCGGTTACCAATGACTACCGTGGCGTCATAGGAGAGACCGTGGCTGATCATATATGCAGCCAAAGTGTTAAACGACAATACTTCTAAATATACACATTCGAGCAAATATTGGGTAGAAATTCAAATCAAGTGGAAATTAAAAGTTAGGTTCTAAAAGACTATTTCGATACAAACTCTAAACAACGAGTGTCAGTGATTTTACGTGCACTTTCTTTCCCTAGGGACTCATTCGCACGACCCTCATGGGCGTAGAATTGAGATGCGCTCAACCAGCGCGTTCCGCAAAATCTAAACAGCGCGATCGCGTTGCTTGGGACTCAAAGATTAACACTCTAAGTGCCTAGCTGTTTTGCTTGCCGTTCCGTTCACACTATAGTTAGCTGTTACGCGGGTCCTTCCGGGCCGTACGGACCGGCGAGGCCTGAAGGGAGAGTCTAGCGCTTGGCCGTAGGGGGCGTTTAACGTGTCAACACGTTCACGCCGGAGCCGATTTTTGTTTCTCGTTGTGTGGTGGCGCGCGTTGTCATGCATTGCTTGGAGATGGGAGCGTGAGCCACCGGTGGTACATGCTGTCCGATATGAAGGACCCGAGTGTGTGCCATCGGTGGTACACGCCGGCGTGAACGTGACCGGGCCCCTTTGTCTATTCGCTGATCGAGTGGATGATCGCTCCGTTTCAGGTTATCTAATAATCTATATATCTATATATCTATATATCTATAATTCCGATTATCATCGCCACCTGCTCCCCGCTTACCTTATCGGCTAACCGGGGCCCGCTTACTCTTACGAATCGTGATTCACGGGAAATAATTGAGCCATGTGGTGATCCCAACAGGTTTGCTGAAAGGGTCCGTGACGGCTGAGCGGCCGCGCACGCTGCGCCGTCTGCGGAACGTTTACGGGCCATCCGCATGCGGAATGGGAACCGGCGGTGATGGTGGAGGCGGAGAACGTCTGGAGGACGGAGAGGTCTCGTTCCGGCTGTCGGACCGCGATCGCGAGCGGGACGAGAAGTCCCTTAGCATAATGAGCCCGTTCGACGAGCAAGAGGAATGGGCGAAGATCTCGGAGATCATGGCGTCCTTCGGCACGGGCCTCGTCAGGGAGTCTGTGTTCGTCACCGAACTGGAGAAGGAGTTTCAAACGAGACTAGGTATGCTCATACGGTTTACAAAAGAAACATTACCATGTTTTCCTTGCAATTTATACGTGTCACGTTTCCTGTAAGCATTGATTACGTTACGCGTGGACAGGTACTGTCTGTCCGCGAGAAGAATCACAGGGAGATAAATTTAGATTGATTTTATCCGTAGCTGCATATGTTGATGTAATAGTAGCATAAGTTTTGGCGGTACTTTTTGTTTTCTACAATATAATTAACCCTTTGCACTCGACGATTTTGTCGTTACAGAAAAATAGTAATTCGAAGACTTTCTGTCATAGAGTCGACGATATTTTTAAAACGGTAAATGAGAAATCATATGCAAATTAAGACGTAGAATTATTTTTCCTCGACATTCCACACATCGTTAGGTAATTTTAAATTTGGTATATTAATCAATCTGATTAAATGGCGACTGAGAGTCATCTCTCTCGAGTGCGAAGGGTTAACTTTGGATTCCTATGTATGTAGGATTGGAAATGACTATGGCCTTGAAAGAATCTCGGGAGTTTCGGGAGTTTGAACTTAGAACAAAGGTGACCGCGCGAGAGGATCGAATGGATGTGTATGACAGAGCCGAGTGCGATAGACGATTGGAAGTTAGTTTATGAGTGCGGCATGTGTTTGAAGTAACAGGGTTAATGATCCTTCGGTTACGACTGTGAATTAGGTTCGTATTTTGTCATACAGTAGGTTCGATGCTTGGTTTGGTCGACTGAGGTTACTGCGGCAAAAGAGGCATGATTGGGAAGGAAAGCCTGAGTGTGGATACAAGAATGAAGGTTTAAATAAGGGTGCAAGGGCGTAAAGTGTCAGTCAGAAAGTATGTAAGAAGTCCAAGTCAGTCTCAGAAAGGTCAGAAGAACGTGACTATAGCAGATTTCTCTTCTTTCATAGCCGTCATTCTATTTATAAGCTTATTTTATTTTATTAAGAAGCCAACAATACTGTCTTGAGTCAGTCCACCTAAAATCCAATCTTACATGTATGTCAGTTCTTTATTGTTCGGTTTTATTTGATCATGGAGTGTTTCGTTTACTTTTGGTTTTTAAACCTATTTTAGAGCTTCAGTTTTGTAAAATGGGACTTACTTGTCGAGTCCGAGTAATTGAAAATCGAATTTTGCTCCGATAAAACGTTAAACTCGGGTTTATATTAATTTTTGGATCACTGTTTACTCGTCAATTTTTGAAATCAGGGATGGGTTCTTAATTAATTCGTACAGGGTATAGGGATTAAATCAATCTCCAGTTCTGTTTGTCATAATGATGCTAACGAAGCATTGCTCATGTTTCGCGAATTAAACCGGCAATTTCGTCTGATTTGTACGCAGGCCTGAGTTCAGACACCAGCAGCAGCCCCATTGTCTCCACTTCCGTTGGTCAGTGGCTGTCAACGTTGGGACTGGCCGATTATGAGACTCTCTTCATCAATTATGGCTTTGACGACCTGGATTTCATAGTAAGCTCCTTACCTCGATCATCTGTTCGTTTCGCGATCGATTATCTCGCTTACCAACACGAGGAGCCTAAAAACAAAGACTCTGAAAGAGCTAATTACCACTGATTCGTTAATTTCAATTGCAAACGGTGAGCCAGAGAATACCTTGATTCGCGGAATAAAAATTTCACGCTTCCTCGCTGCCATTAGTCACAGCGATTATTTTAAAACGTGGCAAAGAATATTTTTAAAATCCTGGGAAATTCCATTGTTACAGAACGGAGTCTTGGACGAGACGGACCTGAAGGACATGGAGATCAGCAGCGATCAGGAACGAGCAGTGATAATGGACGCGGTCGGTCTGTTGAACAAACGCGTTGAGAAACGGACTGGCGGTAACTGTCAGTCGGTGGACGAGTGGCTAAAGAGTATTCACTTGGAGAATTACGCGGAGACCTTCAAGAAGCACTTGTACACGGACATGGAACGCGTGAGATGCGTGTGGGAGGTCGAATTAGCGACTGTACTAGAGATACAGAAGCCTGCGCACCGTAAGAGGATCCTCGCGTCCGTCAGCGGATCGAGCGCGCGTGCGCAGAATCGCAACTGCGCCGGGCCCAACTTGGAGGACCTCAATAAGGATCTGAACACCTTGGTGAGTGAAATCGCATGGTCTGGCTGAATACGAATCGGTCGCGAATCGTCGTCACCTCTCGCGATTCGTCTGGAATCGATAATGGAGGACAGGGGCCGACTCTAAAAATCGTAGAAATATTTGAAACGCAGTCGTTGACCCCCCAGTTTCAATTCGGACTTCGATATCTTTAACATAGGTATTTCAGCGAAATTTCACGAACGAAATTTACTGTGAAAGTTAGACTGCTTCCCCTAAAGTATCGGGTCTCGGTGTTCAAAATGGCGGTGAATCTAAGAATGGACGGCATGGGAGATCTGAAGCGAGAGTGAAAGAAAATGGGCAAATAAAAATTTTCGATAAACGGTGCCCTAACTAAATTAAGCAGCGAAAGGACGAGCACAAAGGGCCGTGGTAAAAAGTTGTCCAAAAATCACACACAATTACATTTCAAAAGAAGAAGTCTCCTTGACAAAAAGCCGGATCGAGCTGCCACTCGCGAAATAGCTTGCACGCCCATGGGTGTCGATTTAATCCAGCTGAGACCCTCAAAGGACCAGCAACCCCTAAAAAACGCATCTCGAGCCAGCGCCTATCGGGATCAGCACCGGTAAACGCGAGCAGTCGCAGCAAAGCGAGTAAAACGAGCGAAACGAGTGAAGCGCGAAGGCTGGAAAGGGTTAACGAGGTTCATCCCGACGATCGGACCACGTGACGCTCTTCTTCCGCCGATTCTGTCACCTGGCCGAGATAGGGGGCGCGTCACATCGCGAAGATCTCGTTTTAAGAGCGTATCGAACGGCGCGGGGCGAGGAGAGAAGGGGTGGGGATGAAAGACAAAAAGCAAAAAGAAACAGAAACGAGGAGAAGAGCGACGCAGGCAGGGGGTGAGCGTCGGCTGAAGGGACCCTGTTAAGAATTCCGTTGAACAGGGTGTCTGACAAGGGCCGCGGAGCACTTGGGCAAAAAGAGGGCGCTACGTGGCTGGAGGGTGGCTAGAGGGTGGCTGCGACACACCGGCAAGCTCGATCGCTTCCGTCGGCTTTCAGCCGATCGCGTCATAATGTAAATATCGTGGCTAATTGGAGAGGCGTTATTGTAACGGGTGCGCGCGAGCGCGCCGGCGCATCGGCCCTACTACCTGTTCCGCGTACACTCGCCTCACGAGGCGACACTCGAGCAAGCTTTCAGCCTGATCGCTCGAGCGGACGCTAATAGTTTTTGTTCGGGCGCCTCGAGCGCGATACGTGCATCCGTTAACGAGCTACTCTGCCGCCTCGCGTCTCGCCGCCTGGTCTTTTCGCCGGTGCTCCCTTAATTAGCTAATTAAATTCGATTAATGGCCGTCGGTCGACGCGCACACGTACAAATTGCTCTCTTTGTTCCTCCGTTTCTCTGCTTCTTACGTCCATTCTTTCCCGGTAATCGAATTTCACGATTGCCGGCCCGTGGCGCGCGCACGCATGCACTAGCGCCATCTCACAGCGCACCCATGTGTTCCGTCTGCGGATTAATCTTCGAGTCGCTCCTCTACCACCGCCATGTCGATGCCCGTTTCGCTCTTTCTCTCACTCCCTGTCTCTCTCTCTCTCGCGCGCGCCTCGGATATTGGGATATGGGATATTTTTAGTCTCTCCTGACCGGTGTATGTTTATGGACGTTGTCTTCCTTTTTTCCAGTCTTTTTCCACGCCGATGTTGTTCCCTCTTGTTGCACTTTTTTTGTTTTTTTTCTGTTTTTTCCAGTGATACCCGAAGGCAAATTATATAGAGAGCCAGATGTAACAAACGGTCGGCGGGATGTAATCCGAAAGGAGAGCGATACGCTCGTGTGGTTTGAATCTGGTTTGATCGTAATTCTCGGAACAGGCGCGAAACGATTTATTCGCGGAGATTGCAAAAAGTTCTCCTTTTTTCCCTATTTTTTTCTTTTTTTTTTTTCCCCTGTTAGGGCGGATGGCGATTCGAAACGCGACGCTTTCACGAGTGTAATTGCACGTTCTGTAACGCGAGCCCGACTTTCGTGCGCGGCTTTGTAACGCTGCGCGAAAATTTTTTCGCACCGGCATGTCCATTTTTATTTTTCGTCCGCTGACGTATCGGAAATTTGCCTGTAACACGGACCCGGCGCAACGTAGGAATGTAAAAAGGTATTTGCTCCGGTCGCCCGCTCGTTCAAATAAATCTATCGGAAGGTTTTACGTTCGATGAAAATTAATGGAATATATTCGCGTTCTGGACAATTAATATTGACTCGTGGAGTTGACATTGCTGACAGGGAGCAAGACGTTTCAGGTGCCATAAATTCATTCCCTACAGCAGTGCGAATTAAACATATATCTGATATTAGACGTCTGGATGTAGATAAATATGTTCTGATTTTGGCAACCGATATTTTTGGCAGAATTTGGGATTTTCGTGGAACAGTGTCAATGTTGCATGAGAAAATATGAGAAAATTGTTAGAGAACCCTGGAACCTGAAGATCCCTGACTTCAAGTTTACCCCATAGCTAAACTAGCCTAGGTCCAAATACGTTTTGACACTGATATTCGTGATTCTTGGTTGTACTTAGACTTAGAAGTCACCAGACCAAGTGGACACTGAGATCTGATCATTCCCAATTTGAAGTCCATCAGAAAATCGTGGTATCCTAGATCCAAGTAGGGTTTTGACGCTAAATAAATCCCAGTATTCTTCAAATCCCGGGTGATCTAGCGACATCTGCGATCTCTGACATCAGGTTAACCATGGTATCAAGTGGTCCCTATGTGACCCTAACACTAAATTGATCCTGGCAATAAATTGTCCCCCTAGATCCACCAGCTAAGGCTCGTTTCTATTACATCTAAAGGACCAATGCTCTTCTGTCCTGACCAGTGTTCCAAGATGGACACTGTTCCTGCTCGCTTTTATTCACTCTGCTTTAGTTACTATAGTAGCTGCCGTTATAATGATACATTTTCTTGCATGATTAACTGGATGACTAAATCTACCAACCTGCAAAGTTTCATTTAAATCAATGATCCAAAGGACTTGCACTCTTCTCGTAAGAGAAGACATCCATCACGACATCTCTTAGCTGCCTTCGTACAACGACAGTTGTTTCTTGCCATTCGCTTCGTTGCACAACCAAACCCGAACCCTACTATTGTGATTACAGGTTCTAATAGTAAAATAACTACGATACATATATTTTCTGTCGAAGTCCTTTATTTTTCAAGGAAGGTATATCTTTCTTTTAGTGCTTCCCTTGAGAGACTGACCGACCCCTCTAAGACACATCTGCAGCTGTATCCGATTCCTGAGAGAGTGTCAAGAGACAAGGAAGGTATATCTTTCTTTTAGTGCTTCCCTTGAGAGACTGACCGACCCCTCTAAGACACATTTGCAGCTGTATCCGATTCCTGAGAGAGTGTCAAGAGGGTACACGGTCCTCAAACTCCCAAACCTCTAACTCCCATCGAACGTTTATATAAACATTCGTTCTAGAAGCTTATATCTTATAAACTAGATTGATTTTCGACTACAGCTAGATTTATCTTTTCCACACCTACCAACTATACTCCAGCTAGTAAGACGAATCACGAATAGTCATTACAGCTATGTTCATCCTCACCCTCTCTTCGCTACGCCCTGTCTTCTGTTCGATATACCTTCTAATTCGACATTCTCGTTACACGACGAAGAACAAGCAACGTATTCTTGCCCAAGGCTCGCAACGTGACTCTCGTTGCTGAAAAACCGCACCGCGTCTCATTTCCGCAGAAGACGAACATACAGCAGCTGAAGGAGGAGATACGGGAGAAGCTGCCGGAAACAACGACGGAGGGTAATGGCGGCACGTCGATAACCGCAACGAATTCGACCGGCACGAGCACATTAAGGCACCGCAAAAACAGGCCGGCCCCGCAGCCACCCCAGCGACCCAGTTCGCATAATGGGGCGATCTCTGCACCGGAACAACTCGAGATCAGGGCACCGTCGGAGCTGCTCCTCGGCGTCCCGTCCACCCTGAAGACGCAGTGGAGGCACCAGCCGAAAGCTCTAGTCACCGGCTGCGTCACGTACGTCGCCAACGTAAGTCTAATTGCTTCCGTCTTTCCTTCTCCGTTTTGGCTTCTCGCTACTTTACATGCTCTTGCCACGGCTTCCACGGACCACACGGTTCCTCGCGGAGAAGTCAAATGTTCTTAACCTCTTCCCGTATTTCGACGAGTCTGCCACGTGATGAAGACTTTGGTCCAAACATGAATATCACGAGTCAGACACGTGAACAGAATGTCGGTCTAAACATGGTTATCACGAGCTAGACACGTGAACAGAAAGTCGGTCCGAACATCAATATCACGAGTCAGACACGTGAACGAAATGTCGGCCCAAACGTGGATATCACGAGCCAGACTCGTGAACAGTACATTTTTCTAAATACAGTTGTGAAATTGTTATTTATTATGAAATATAATCTATTTATAATATTTATAAAAGGGAAAAGGGTTAGAGTTTACTTCTACAACAGTAGTATCGCGTAAAACTGACTATATCGCACGCATTTACATTTCGGCTCGTTTGCGACTTCGAGTATCAGTCTGGTCTCTTTACTGCGCGTTGATACCTACCATTTGGGCCCGGATTTCGTCGAGCTAAATGACATGGGAAGAGGTTAACGCTTCGCGTGCTAGGTCTTCTCCGTTCTTTATTTCCGGCTATCTGTTATGCAGTAGTGTCTCCAGATTTATTTCAGGCACCGAGGTCCATAGTCAGAGGTCTCTGTGCGGGTGCATAGGCGAGCTGGTGATTTTTCCTCTTGCTTTCACGATTGCTACTGGCAACTCTCAGCAATGACTACTTGCTCCGTCCAGGGAAATGAGATACCGAATGCGATGACGAGATCGGGGCCGATTTCGTAGTACTCGGGCCCAGTGATTACGTGGAACCTTCTTTGGAACAGTGGGACAGTGTGCATTCTGAACGTTTTTCCAAGAGCTTGTAATAATGGAGCAAGTGTCGTTTCTGATCATAGGCAGATGTTAATATAAGCATTGGTATCTCGTCTCCTTGGACGGAGTATAGTTTTATGGTTCTAGGTGAAGGAAGTGTACAGGGTGTCTGAAAAGTAGGGTCCAATTAAGAGCATTTGCTTACTGAGGGGAATAAGAATTTTCTCAGCGATATTGATTTTACAGTGAAGCTTCTTCATAGCGAATCTCTTCACCACTGTATCTGTTAATCAGACATTTCTTATCCTATTTGGAAAGTACTATAAATCTTCCGATTCTTAACGAAATAAAGACTTACTTGGAGTATAGCAATATCTCGAATTTCTTTTTTCAAGGTTACTTAAAATTCTTGATACTATTCAACACTAAACCTACCATGACCGGTTAAATGACTATAATAGATGGAAAAATAAAAGATCTTTAAAAAAAAATATGCGAAAAGGAAAATGAAAAATTAATTTATAGGTATATCGGAAGAAAAATCGTGGAAACAAATAATCAAAGCGATAACGTTGAGTGCGGAATTTTTAATGAAAATTTGGAATTGCTCATTTAGATCATGATCTAAGGTTTAGTGTTAAAGATGCCGATCTATGATTCATAAATCTGTATTGTCTATTAAGGAATAATTTTGTATCGACGTTGACGATCTTGCGTTACCTATTTCTAAATTAATTTCTCTGTTTGAAAAGAGTATAACGAAGAGGTTCACTATAGCATCTATACTAATCAGACATTTTTTATCCTCTTTGACAAGCACTATAAATCTTCCGGATTCTTAACGAAATAAAGATTTACTCGGAGTATAGCAATACCCCGAATTTCTTTTTGCAAGGTTACTTAGAATTCTTGATACTATTTAAAGATGCCAATCTATGATTCATAAATCTGTATTTTGTATTAAGAAATAATTTTGCATTGTCGTTAATAATAATTTTGTCGACGATCTTGCGTTACCTATTTCTAAATTAATTCCTCAACTTGAAAAGAGTATAACGAAGAGATTCACTATAGCACCTGTGTTAACCAGACATTTCTATCCTCTTCGACGAGCACTATAAATCTTCCTGATTCTTGGAGCCTACTTGTCAAACGACCTATGCATTATCGTAAATATTTGCAAGCAACTGTCGTGACTGGTTCGACTTCGCGTTGAGATTTTTGCGACCATTTGTAGCCTGAAAAGCTGTGTTCTCGCGGTAATTGAGTTTTCCGTTGTATTTGACAAAAAGGAAATTGCAGGAGACCACGTCAGAGTAACAATTGCACCGAGTAACTCTGCCTTCTGCGTTCCAACGTATTGCACGGTTCTCGAGTAACCAGAGCGTTGTGATGTCAGCCAGATAGTCGTGACAGCCTCAAGGTGAAGGCTATTACCATAATTACCGCGTGGGTGTAACTAATAACACATTTCATTCGGGGTATTATCTTCCTTGGTCTAACCTCCAGCGCAATGAACGAGCATTTAACGCTTTCTTCCTCTCTGGAATCATGTTGTTCAGCGTAATAGTTGCTTGCTTCCTTTGGCACAGGGACCTGCGAGTATTGCGTAAGGTTACGCTACTGCACGACGAATAGGACACGGGTGGAATATTTTTATTTTTGTATAATTTTCTTAAAGAAGATGGGGTTTGGGTTATCGATGTTAAATACGAGTAACCGAGCGAGACACATAGATGGATTCGTTTGAGATTCATGGATTAATTTCACAAATTATTATGAATGAAAGTGGAAAAAAGAAATTTTTGGTAATTTAGGAATAATTTATGCAATATCAGGAATTGGATTTTTAGGTTTTATTATATGAGCACATCAAGGTTTTTTGGTTTTTTGGGGAGATTTAGCGTTGGGGTGTTGGTGTCGTGATTCTAGAGGCACGGTTTTCTTTTCTGTTCTAAAATCGAATAGTACCTGGGTTCCACTGTGGTGAAGGAGTTGCGTGGTACCGAGTCCACGAAAAAGTCGATACAGAAGCTGAAGAAAACGTGTCGCGAGCCCAGGGTCACGCCTGACATCACTTTGGCCATTTCTTATCGTGGCGTTCGGTTTCTGAACACTGTCACCAATGTAAGATACTTTTACCTCATGTAATATCGCACGCGTGAACCAACGGTTCTGGAACTACGTTAATCCTTCGCAACGCGAGATTTTTTAGCACTATACCACAATTTACTAACTATATAACGTGTAACAACGTATAATTATATAATACGTACAGTCCGTGTCAAAATGTGTTTCATGTATCAAATGTGTGCACAGTGTCATCCGAGTAACTTCAGAGCAGTGTATCTCGGGGGAGAAAAATCGTTCGATTATAAATAAAATTTGATTTTACAGGGGAAGCTTAGTACTTCCTGATAATCTTTATCAAAGCAGTTAATAAAAATTTTGGAAAAAATTACCATTTTTAGAAGAATTTCGTGAAAGTAGCAAGAATCGATACTTTTTATTTGTTTATTTATTTCGTAAACCTAGGATGGTAAGAAGTTTTTCTTTGCACAGTTTCGTAGACTGCTCAAGGTATTAGTGAATGCATAACTTTTTGAAAATTAATTGCACGGTATCACGAAATGACAGCGGAAATAAGAAAGACGGTGTCTTGCGTTCATCGAGATCGTGTCGCGTCGGAAGGGATTAACGTGGAGCCTAATGCGATTAGCGTGACTACGTATATTTGTATTTGGAATGATGGGAATCGATAGGAGCCGATTTGCGAGCACGAAATTCGCAACATTCACTGCGCCTGTCAGGATGCCGACGATCTCACGCATTTCGCGTACATCACCAAGGACCACGCCAGTCGTACGCACTTCTGCCACGTTTTCTGCGTGCCTACAATGGTAAGTCCATTTTTCCTGCCTGTCTTTAAATATCTTCCTCTCGAAGCGTTTCAAAATTTTCGGAAACGATACTCAGTCCGGATTAAAGATCAATTTGGGATTTTTAGAATTTATATGTGCTTCCAAAGTTCAACGTATAGCATCTAGATAGCGTATCGTAGTGTCTAGATATTTTCTTCACGTCATAGAATTAACTATATTGCCATAGTTAAATAGAACAAATTTGAATAATCTTTGGCCAATTCCTAACGATTAGTAGCTGATTATGGTGCACCATCGCGATATATATGACGAAAGAATCGATATTTTGAATCACACGAGTATATACCTATTTGCATAAACTCAGTGGATAAAGTAGAACTCTGTGGACATAAGATAATTTTACGTAAAATTTAAAATTGAGTGTTCACAGATTGAAGTGTTAAAAGATCCGCGAAATTTCTGATGCATACCACAATGGTTCCCACCGATTTATCGATGTTATAAACAATTTATCTGTTTATAAGTCTCCTTTATCCACTGAAAAGTCTGAATCTGGTGTTAACGAGTCCGCCATCGCGAAAGACACGAATCCCTTCACCCACGATGTATCTACGAAGCGAGGCATGCCTGTTTCAGGACCAAGCAACGGAGGTGATCCTAACCCTAGGCCAGGCTTTCGAGGTAGCCTACCAGATGGCGCTGCGTGACAAGCTCGGTGGGCACACGGTGCGCTCCCAGTCGGCCAATCAGCTAACTACGTTCTCTAAATCCTCGGCGCCCGTTAAGATGCCGATGTCCCCGGATTCTCTGCTCGAAACCGGCCGCGAACCGCACGACCAGCTCCCAGCCGCCTTTCCCATCGTGAACTCGATGAACCCGAAGCCGAAACCCCGCTTTAAATCGTCCATTCCTAACCCCATCGCGCAGTCCGCGGTGACCAATCCCATGCACGATGCCAACAGCAACTCGAGCTCCCTCTCTAGCGGCACCGTGAACTGCAGTTCGAGCTCGAACCCCGCTACCAGTCCCAGCACCAACTCCGTGAGCAGCTCGAACTCCAGCAGCACCAACCAGACCGCGAAGCCTCTAGTCACGCATGGTAGGTCCCATTCCGTAAACGACATTAAAGTGAACGGCAACCAGCTCAAGTTGGCGCCGGCGCCCGTCGACGATATTGGGATCGGCGTGAAGGACATGAAACCCGGCTCGAGGGCACCCATTGCTTTGTCAGAGGAGCTGTAGGTCTGGGACTCTTCGTCGTCTGCGTGCACGTCGTTTCTCTGAGACGCTGGATCTCGGTGCAAACGTTCGACGGTCCTCATCCGATCGTCGGTGAACTTGCCGGTAGAGGGCAGGGCTGTCGCGCGTCCTTCGCGACGCGTTTTGGTGGTCGACGTTATGGCCGATACGAGGGTGTATGATGGATTTGGGCGATTTCGGCAATTACAAGTGCTTTGTAATTCTTCGAACATCGATACGACGTTGACGATGTTGATGGTTGAATGTTGCTCTTTTGGAGGAGAGAGGAGGATTTGGAAATGGTAACAGAGAGTGGATTTTAAATTTCCATCATAGATTTACCCTTGTATCGCGGTACCGGTTGAACCTTTTGTAAACTGATATTGTAAAATCTGTCTGGGATTTTGATACTCGACTGGGAAGTCGAATTGGACCTGGACTGTCCGATCGAGGTTAACGTTCTGACACGTTACTGCGCGACAGGGCTGCGGTTAGGCGTTCGTGACGTCTTTTTATCTGTTGGACTTTCGTAGAAGCATTTTAGACAGACACGGCGACGTGTGTCGACAGTTGGAATGATTATTCGTGGGAAAGGATGACAGGAAAGCTTGGTGACGGCTGAGGTAAGTGCGAGACGGGTGTCGACTTATTTTGCCAAATTCTTCATCGACCTTGGAACGGTGACACTGTGATTTTCTACATCGAGGGCATTAACGAACCGACAAGACTCGTTTAGAAGACAACCGTGTGCTCACCTTATACACACACACTATTCACGTTCGTGCAACGAGGATATTAAACAGAACGAAAACTACAGGAGCAACGAATTGCGAAGATTCCCGTTTCATTGTATCCCGTTGGGCGAGGCGTGGCTATCGCGAACAGTATTATTCGACTAGAACGAAGCTCTTCGTCACGAAATAGATGTTTCCTAGATACTACGCCGGATTTTCTGTCGGTAAGGAAGAGCGCGACCAACGTTACATCGACGTTCCGCCTAAAATAATTTTAAAGGAAGCTAGAAAGGGAAACGAAAGAAGGGAGCTAGTACAAGGACGGAATTTTCTGAAAGAATTCAAGACCCCCCATTGCACGCGAGATATATCTTATTGCATTTAGAAATGGCACATGTATAAACACGAACATTCCCGTGACAGAAGGACGTACAGGTGAGTCGACAAATTTGCGAATGCTCAATTTTCATCACGTGCAATCGATTTAAAAGAAAAAAAGAAAAGAAACAAAAAAAAAAAGGATAATAATTGACTGATGAGACTCAGAGGCTGATCGTTTTCTCTTTGAACCGTGGATGGTTGATTGGCTCCATGGTGGATTCGTTTCTTCTGTTGTGCCCTCGAGTACGAAGATAGTTGAGATTGCACGAGACGAGATCTAGCTTTTCGTGTCCTTCAGACGCTAATGTTCACACTGGGTTTCGAGAGTCTTGTCGCGTCAGATTTGTTATCGCAGTAACCATACTTAAACACGCACTCCTCGCTGTTCCAGTTGGACTATCTCTTAGGTGTGTTGCATTTTTATTGTCCTTAATACAGCAGTGGGGATATCTCACGCAGTCGAGCTTCGCCAATGATATTTGCTTTCGCATTCCTACGTTCCGCGACGAAGACGGTTCTCAGGAACGATTCTAGACACGGTATCCCGTCTAATGCTATCTCTCGGGGCACAACAGTTCCGTGACATCGCCACCCTCGTTCGAGTCGCCACCGTCTTTTTCTTTCGACGTCCTCGTCACCCAAGACTGAAAGCCCTTATTTCGTTTTGTATTTTTCGCGCGTTTCAGCGTTTGCGGATAGAGAGTATGTACACACGCGTACGCGCGCATGTACACAGTTGCACGTATTAATTGTAAACGGAAAAAAAACGAAGAAAAAACGAAAAAAAAAAGTGGAAAGGGAAAGA